AAGGGCCTCTGCCCCGGTACCCGCGGAACGGCCCGTGCGTCTCTTCACGGGAATCTGAAACAAAGACGACGATCGTGACTTGGGACTCCTGCGAGCGGTCAGCACCGTGGTTTAATGAAGGTCAGCGAAAAGGACAAATGCCAAGTACTTGGGAGAGTTAAAAAGCACCGATAATTTGTACATTCGATACAAGAACACAGGAAAAGGAGAAAAACCGCAAACAATGAAAATCAACAACAATAAGCATTGTAGACAACACGTTATTTGAGAATTACTAAATTGTTGTATTTTGAGTTCTTGCAGTAATTGGTGGGATTAAAACATTGAAGACAACAGAATCTTTCATACAAAAAGTTCTTCTGTTCAGTAACAAACATGATCTGGGACGCTGAAATACACGACACACATCTAACCTAAACACTCAAAAGGCTCAAAAGCAAAGAATCAAACACAAATTACTTCCAAATACAAAACATTCCAAAACCAATCTCATGATTTCGTACAGCTTCTAGTTAGAACGCTGTTCCCGAAGCAGATGACCTCTGCAGGTATCAGTGTCATGAACAACTGAGTTTGATGCCTTTATTGAGTGTCTCAGAGAAAAAAAAAATTGGCATACTTCTTATTCCTACAGTTGATTTCTCTCATTCCAGATGGAGATGAATTGCTCAAGCCACAGAGTTAACGACAACCGAAGTCTCTGGCAGCACCAGACCCGCTGCGTTCACGTGCTCTCCGTTCACCTCAGTGCAGCAATGTCAGCGCTGACCTTCCACTTACATGCTCCGCATAAATAAAACAAACAGTCTTCCCTTCGATGGGAAAAACATACTGTCCTCGGCATGTACAATCACTTCTTTTGGCCTTCCAACTTCTAGACAGACTCATCACCTATTTTTTCTATTACTTAATATCTTTCTTGTTTTAGCATGCTGATCACATAGAAGCCCATATCCTATCTGTGTTCCTGCTAAAATGAAATGAGACCAGCTACTCCTGTACGTTTTTATTTACTTTTTGATAGATGCCAACACTAACATTAGGCCCTTATTTATAAAATCCAACCTAAGACAAACTTGGATATATTTTCTTGTTAGACATCGTGGGACGCATTGTAGTTAGGAATGGTTTGGCTTTGTAACATTCCTATGGCGTATTCTTTCCATTCCCAGTTTAGAGATTGGAAATAACACAACTCAAAGTTAGACATGAAGTTATTCAGGAGTCAAGCAAGTTTTCTGTACCACAGGGCTCCGTGCTTTTACAAGAGACCACCTTTCCTGTACGGGACACAATGCTGTCTGTACAACCATACACACTTCTTAAGCCCACTTATTTATTTATTTGTTGTTGGGTTTGGTTTGCTTTTTTTTTTCCAAATGTCTTTTTTCCACTTCTTGTCACTGTCCCCTGGAGCAGCTTTCTCTCCAGAAGTCAACCGTGCCATTCCAACTACGTGTTGTCACCAAGAGCAGAGTTTAAGAGAAACAGCATTCCCCTCTTCGTTACACCCATATGAACAATTAACTTTCCATATATAAAATAATTCTTATTAGTGCTTTGCTCACTATATTATTGCTGCCATTTTAAGCCAGCCAGAATCAATGTGTTCAAAATAGGAAATCAGCAATTCTACCACAGACATAATCATTCTCTATCCAACAGACTAGTAAAATAGACTCAGGACACCATCAGGCTTCCCTTTTCCATGGCTACACAGAAGATTTAGTAGTAAATCAGCATTTCAAAATGATGAAAACGGTCTTGCCCCCTGTAAAGAAACAGACACTAACTAGTTCATAGCAGACTTTCCAGAAATCTTTCTCAAGAAATCAGAACTTCGATAAATTGACTATATTCAGCCAATTTTTATCCTTGGCTTTAAAAATCAAATGCAAAGACCTTTGCACACCTTGAAGCCGATAACACAAAGTCTCACTGATCAAGAAATGTTTTATACATTAATTATATCTATACAAAGCTTGCATTAGACAATCTTACATTACAAATTTACAATCAATGCACAAAGAAATGTAAACTTCACCACTAATTTATGGGTAATTTCACCCTGATAACTAGCACAATCTAAACGATCTTATCCTTATTTTTATCTGTCCAAGTATCCACTCAGAAAGAAATACAGCTACAGAATAAATTGTGAAAACTCACTTCTAAAAAGTGTAATGGCAGGACAGTACTATAATCTGAACACGTGTCAATCGTTTGAAAGTGTTTAAAGTTAATAAATTTTTTGTACTGTACCAGTGTTTCAAGCCAGTATATAGGAGAAGTTTAAAATTTACAGAATTAAAAGTAAGTGTCCTCAAATTACTAGTGGTAGAAAGCTAATTATAAATATACAGAATTATAATAATATAAACTAATAGAGGCTTGCTGTAAATGAGGTTGTGACAGACATCATTTCAGTGAGAGCTAAACTAGGATTTTAGATATGAAAATCACTCTGTACACGCTCAGCTGGATCACTTTGCAAATTCCCTTACGATTTTGAAACATGACCACATCTACACACAAGAAATGTGTGTTTCCTTGGTACATTAAAGATAGAAGGTGAAGGTGAGTAAGAGACAAAAATCATATGGGAGGTCTGTAGCAATGTGTGGAAGTTGGATAGTCCCCCAGACAGGAGTTGAAATTTAACACTGAACAAAGAAAGTGAACGATGAAGTTGGATAGGTACCCCAAAAGAAAAACAGGATGATTTTAAAAGCTTATCAAGAGTATGAGGTGGGAAATGCAGGCTGGTATGTGAATTTGGAGATGTCCATGCCTAGCAATTTTTGGAACACCCTTATCTTTGGCAGGCTGGTGCAATTTGCTGAACATCAGCACAATGACCTGCTGCTACAAAGGGTAACATGAGCTGGACAGGCAGTTGGAATCAGTATGGCGTTACTGAAGCATGCAACCAGATGTTGGCTTTCTCTTTGCCCCTTTTTAAACTTGAGCGAGCTCGTCCTGTGTATTGGATGTGAAAGTGCAGGATGACCATCTGAATCACTATCACAACATGCAACTACTCCCATGGTCCCTCCCCCCAAAC